TATCGTTTACAACTTTTAAATTCATTATAACTTATAAGTGATTTTAATTTATTATAATTTTTAATTTGTTGGCCAGTTTTCAGCATTATTTTTCAGGAAGGTAACATCCTTTAAACAAAGAATCGTAAAAAATCGTTTGCTGTTAACCGATACAAAATTTTCTAACTTAAGATTTTCGATGTTTTCGATATCTATTTCAGCTCTAATGTTTCTACCATTTCTCTGGTACTCGCATTGGCTACATTTCTCTACGTCTGATGCATTTAATTCTGCAATTTTGTTCTTTGTTGGTATACAAACTTTTCATCAAACAACGATAGGCAAACAACTTCCTCCGAAAGGTACCACAAGTGACGACAAAACTTTTTTTAAGGCTGCAGAACCAATGTCATTGTCAATTTTCTTAAAATCAACTAATTTCTTCAAAAACAATATATCATTTGTGTCTTTGTTACAAGTGTGTATGTGTTCGGATGGTACAATGCGCCATTTTCAATTGAAGCACCGCGAAATGATATAATGTTTTTGAAGAAATAGTTGATTTTAAGAAAATTGACAATGATTAACGCCCAATACTGCCTCCGTGTGTATTTCTGCCTTATAAAGCTTCTCACTAAAGCCCTTTGCTGTTCGGAGGCGGCGTTAAGTTGTAGGTCCGTGGCCTTTTTGTGACAACATCAAGACGCACACCACAAATTGGAGGAGAGGCTCGGCCAAACACTTGGCAAAGGGGCAAGCGCCAAAATATTATTATTATACGATTAATATTTGCAATGACTAGGAAAACACTTGGGTTCAAGATGGCGTATGAGTGATGTTTATCTGGTGATTTTTTTGATTTGATGATTAGTAATATTTAGTGATGAGGTCCACTATTCTTCTTCTTTATTGGCGCTGTAACCGCCTAAGCTATTTTGGCCGAGTCCAAAACAGCACGCCAGTCATTTCTCTTTTGTGCTAACTGACGCCAATTGGAAATGCCAAGTGAAGCCAAGTCCTTCTCCACCTGGTCTTTCCAACGCAGAGGAGGCCTCCTCTTCCTCCGTTACCAGCATCGCGGCCCGCGTTGAATATTTTCAGAGCAGGAGCGTTTCTGTCCATACGAACGACATGGCCAAGCCAGCGGAGCCGCTGAATTTTAATTCGCTGCACTATGTCTATATCGTTGTAAAGCTCATACCGCTCATCGTTAAATCGTCTGCGATATTCGCCATCACCAACGCGTAAAGGTCCGTAAATCTTTCGCAGAATCTTTCTCGAAAACTCCAAGAGCCGCCTCATCAGATGCTTTCATTGTCCATGCCTCCGCGCCATACACCTGCACAGGCATGATGAGTGACTTATAGAGTGTGATCTTTGTACGACGAGAGAGGACTTTACTTCTCAATTGCCTACTCAGCCCAAAGTAGCACTTGTTGGCAAGAGTGATTCTCCGTTGGATTTCAAGGCTGACATTATTATTGGTGTTAATGCTGGTTCCCAAATAAACGAAGTCGTCTACTTTTTCAAACTTGTAACTGTCAACAGTGACGTGGGTGCCAAGACGCGTATGCTCTGACTGTTTGTGTGCTGACAGGAGATACTTCGTTTTGTCCTCGTTCACCACCAGACCCATTCGCTTTGCTTCTCTATCCAATCCCGAGAAGGCAGAACAGACGTAGCCCTTGTTTTTACCGATAATATCGATGTCGTCGGCATACGCCAGCAATTGTACGCTCTTATAAAGTATTGTGCCTGAGCGGTTCAGTTCTGCGGCTCTTATTATCTTCTCCAACATAAGATTAAAGAAATCACACGAAAGGGAGTCCCCTTGTCTGAAACCTCGTTTGGTATCAAACGGCTCGGAGAGGTCCTTCCCTATTCTGACGGAGTTGGTGGTATTGCTCAACGTCATTTTACACAGCCGTATTAGTTTCGCGGGGATACCAAATTCAGACATCGCGGCATAAAGGCAACTTCTCTTCGTGCTGTCGAAAGCGGCTTTGAAATCGACAAATAGATGGTGTGTGTCGATCCTATTCTCGCGGGTCTTTTCCAAGATTTGGCGTATTGTGAATACCTGATCTATGGTGGATTTTCCAGGCCTAAAGCCACACTGATAAGGTCCAATCAGCTCGTTGACGGTGGGCTTCAGTCTTTCGCACAATACGCTCGATAAGACCTTGTAACCTATGCTTAGAAGGCTAATTCCGCGGTAGTTGGCGCGTATGGCGGGGTCGCCTTTCTTGTGGATTGGGCAGAGCACACTTAAATTCCAGTCGTCGGGCATGCGTTCATCTGACCATATTCTGCATACGAGCTGATGCATGCACCTCATCAGCTCCTCGCCGCCGTACTTGAATAGCTCGGCTGGCAGGCCGTCAGCTCCAGCAGCTTTGTTGTTTTTCAGCCGCGTAATCGCTATTCGTACCTCGTCATAGTCAGGCGGTGGGACAGCTACTCCATCATCATCGACTGGGGACTCGGGTTCGTCTTCCTCACTACTTTCAGCGCTGCTACCATTCAGTAGGTTATAAAAGTGTTCCCTCCACAATTTAAGTATATTCTGGACATCGGTCACTAGGTCGCCATTGTTGTTCTTACAGGAGTTCGCCCCGGTCTTGAAACCTTCCGTAAGTCGCCTAACCCTCTGGTAGAATTTTCGGGCGTTCTTCCTGTCGGCCAGCATCTCAAGCTCTTCGCACTCACGTATTTCGGCCTCTCTCTTCTTATTGCGGCAAATACGTCTCGCTTCCTTCTTCAGTTCCCTATAACGGTCCCACATGGCTCGCGTTGCGCCCGATCGCAGCGTGGCCCTGTAGGCGGCATCTTTTTTCTCTGCGGCTTCTTGACATTCCTCATCGTACCAGTTGTTCTTTCGGGCTCGCTGAAATCCAACTACTTCTTCGGCGGCGGTACTTAATGATCGGGAAATGTGGTTCCACTGCTCGCGTACGTCGGATTGTTGAAGAGTGCTCTCAGAGAGCAGGTGTGTGAGTCGAGTGGCGAATAAATTGGCCGTCTGTTGTGATTGCAGCTTTTCGACGTTAAGCTTTCCTTGCATTGTTGGGCGCACATTTTTTGCTGCACAGAGGCGGGTGCGTATCTTGGCTACAACAAGATAGTGGTCCGAGTCGATGTTTGGCCCTCGGAGTGTACGTACGTCCAAAACGCTTGAAGCATGCCTTCCGTCTATCACAACATGATCGATTTGGTTTCTCGTTTTTCGATCTGGAGACAGCCATGTAGCTTGGTGGATGTTCTTATGCTGGAACCTAGTACTACATATTACCATATTTCGGGCCCCGGCGAAGTCGATCAGCCTCAGTCCGTTATCGGACGTTTCGTCGTGGAGGCTGAATTTTCCGACAGTGGCGCCAAAGATCCCTTCCTTGCCCACCTTGGCATTAAAATCGCCAAGCACGATTTTGACATCGTGTCGGGGGCAGCGCTCATATGTACGTTCCAAGCGCTCATAGAAGAGATCCTTGGACGCCTCATCCTTCTCTTCCGTCGGGGCATGGGCGCAGATGAGCGAGATGTTGAAGAATCTAGCTTTGATGCGGATTGTGGCTAGACGTTCGTCCACCGGGGTGAACGCCAGTACTCGGCGACGGAGTCTCTCTCCTACCACGAATCCAACACCGAATTTGCGCTCCTTTACGTGGCAACTGTAGTAGACGTCGCAAGGCTTCACGCTTACTTTACCTTGCCCCGTCCATCGCATTTCTTGGATGGCGGTGATGTCAGCCTTTGTCTTCCCGAGGACATCAACCAGCCGGGCAGAGGCACCTTCCCCATTAAGGGTCCGGATATTCCAGGTGCATACCCTTAAATCATAGTCCTTTATACGTTTGCCGTGGTCGTCATCAGAAAAAGGGGGTCTCATCCGAGGCTTGTTGGAATTTTTCATTGGGCGGGGTTTTAACGTGGCGGGACCCAAACCCAGCGCACGCGAAGTTTTACGCCTTCTCACTTTAGCTCGCTCCCAAACGGGTGTTTGGTTGCTACCCAGAGGATACGTGGATATAAATATCCGGACGTTGTGAGCTGCGATTTGAACCGTACGCACAAGAATCGCTTCTGGCCACTCCCAGGTGAATGGCAGTCAGAAGTTTTCCACTTCTGCGCACGGAACCATCCTCCGAGGTCAACTATTGGTATGAATTATAATGTAATCTTAGATGTATTAAGCATATGCTCACTGGTTAATGAACAAAAAATAATATTGCAAATATTAATTTTTTATAAGGCAAAACTTAGTTACTAACTAATTAATAAATGTATTTAATACTTATTTATTGAACTTATATAAACTGTGTTCTGATAAGCCGATATTTGGGAACCTACTTACGAAATTTCAACGAAATCGGACAAGATTTGATGAAAATATACCTATTTTTTAATAAACATGCATTTAAAATCTGCGGTTTCCGGAAAACAAACAACAACGTTGAGCGACCTCTAAATCTTGTTCAAATAAGCTGAAATTTTAGAATAAACTTGTCTTTCCTATTATCTTCAAGAATCCGAACGTTCTCAGTCGAAATTCAAAAAAGTTCCGATTTTGAATCACCCTAATGTATATGTATGTAAATATGTATTTCTATACAATGTAATGGTAAATTATTGCAAAGTTAACGTAACTTAACTTAACTACTCTAAGAATTAAAAAATAAACTGTTAGATTTTTAAGCTCAGCTACATTGTGGTAGTATCTCATTGTCGCTGAAATGCAAAAAAAAACACAACTAACTATAATTTTTTATTTGGATAAAACTACGTGGGGACTTATAATTCGGTGAAATTTATCATATTCAATCCAAAAAGTAAATTTTGGATTTTTAGTTAGTTACGGCTTTTTGTATTTCAGCGAGGATGTGAGATACGCCCATTCCATACTATACTAGCGATATGTAAGTACGTTATTGAAAAACTTATACTATCAACACCTACATAAACCTATGAGTATCACGAAAGTATTACATCATCATGTTCTGTATTTTGGTTTCTTTATAAAGTTTTACGTTACACAACAATGATAGACTGCGAATATAAAGATGATGTTATCCGTCTACTGAATGCACTTGTCAATATTTTGGCTATAGTGAAACACTTCCAAAATAAGATAAAAGAATGGTTGGCGGAGCAAGGACTCTCCACGCCAACAGAAGAACAAATTCTGGAAGTGGTACGCAAGAATTATGATCTCACACTAAAGTTGCAAGATTCACTTGATCTGTACGAACGATACTCAGAAGCGCCTCGACATAGTGGATTTTTCAAAGCAATGGTTAGAGATGTAGTCGTCGACACCCGAAAACATATTTATGAATATGTTAAGGAAGCCGTTTCTATCACACCAGAACAGGATGTTATATTATCAACGAACTTATCTGTTCCAAATACATAGGTAATACAAATTACTAACATATAAGAAATTACTAATAGCATAGCTCGGCCAAGCACTAACATATGTGTAAGCGCCAATCTATTATTATTGTTATTAATATTATATTTAATTTTAAAACTTTAGTTTTGTGCATTGTGCTCGTCATAATGCTGATTACACGCGAGGGAACCGTTGCGCCTTCCAAAATAAACAAAGCATAAACAGTCGTAGCTTCTGGTGGGTTCAACGGATGCCTGTTGTGTAGGCAGCATAATAATTTGAAATATAGTACACATACGTTGTAATATTTTACATATTTAACATAACGCATTTACACATTAAAAAAAAATAAAATATTTAAAAAATAAATTTTGTTTTTTAAATGGAATATTTATCAGTAAATATTTTATATTTATTGGCTGACATTTACGACAATCGGCATTACACAACATACGAATTTAAAAACTATTACTAAGTTTTTGCGGCAGAATTGATGAATTCTTCATTTCGAATTCAAAAATGGTTCCGTTTATACATAATTCGCGAATACATGAAATGAAGTGTTTTGAAAAAGTGGCAGCGCACTAGCGAGAAACTAAACAGTATGGTTGTGATTTTTTAAGCATTTTTTTTTGAATGTTCTAAAGGCGTTGGTACCAGGAAATGGTCCATGTTATATTTAAATTGGTTTTAGTACATTGAATTTCTTTAATATTTCAACAAATCCACGTAACTTTTCTAGTGTTTTAAGTCATGCAGGGTGGGCAAAAACTCGGGAGTTCGAGCGAGAGAGTGAGCAAACTCCTACTCAATGCCTCGCAGACAACGAGGCGCTCGCAGCTCGTACTCGTAGCAGCAATGAGGCTAGGTACGAGAAGTTTGGCTCGCTCGCCAAACGAGCGAGCGCTGCTTGTTTGCTCGCGCTCCTATTAAATGAGCGAGGCTGTTGGGTGTTGCCTCGCTCGCAGTGCGAGGCGAGTAGCTGTCTGCATACTCACTCTGCTAGGAAAGACGAGTGAGCGACGAGCGAGCGCTCCGAGTGTACTATACAACACATGCATTTTTGTGCATAAAAATGTGGGAATGTATGTCAATAGATTATGTACGAAAGTATATTAATAATTGTATGTACATATGCATATATATATGTGAAGTATTATATTAGGGCAGCATTTAAAACAACAAATAAAATTGATTGCATACATAAGCATAGATTATGGAATGAATTATTTTTTAGTTATATTCATACATGTGTACACACATAACATGCATATTTATATATGTATGTATGCATTTATATATGTATGTACATATGCATGTATTTTGTCTTTACAAAGAAAAGTAAGTAACGAAGATATTATAATCGTTTGTGCCGCAGAAACAAAAAACAAGTAAGCACTTGCTAACACCCGCAAAATAGTTTTCTACTTGTAGCAGTTATGCTGTATACCTGAATGACATATAGTCCTTGGTGAAAAAATTTATTTGTGGCCTGTTGTTCAAGGACATGTGTACATATGTATGCATGTATATATGGATATGTAGACATGGGAAAATTTGCGTAAACAAAGAATAGAGACCGGTTCGCATACAACTTTGGCGTTGCGTTGGCGTCGAATTTCAAAGCAGCCGTCCACATATCCAAAATTTGGCAACGCTAAGGCCAACACAAAGCAGAAAGATCGCTGCGTCGGTCGCCAGCTGTTGCAAATAAATAAAATTAAATGAAATGTTTTTTCCTTTTAATCAAATGAAGGCAAGAAATATATTTTTCATGCTATTATTGATATGAAATATTAATTTATTTCTCGTTAATATGTTAATTTAGTGGCCAAAGTAGTCTCTGCCAAGCTTCATTGTAGAACGCATACTTTTAACGTGCGTTCTGTCAAACCAACGCCAACTACAAAGTCAACGCGAAAGTTCTATGTGGACCAGCCTTAATTATCAAATAGTAGTTTGTATTATCCTACATACATATATATGTATGGGGCTAAACCAGGAATATTCATTTGAAAATGCTGATGTCCTACTCATTTATGAAATGAAAGACAAAATAATGATTTTTATAAATATTATGTTCTCATTTATACATATGTAACATAGTTACTTAGTCAAATTACTTAGTAATTACTTGTATGTAAGAATACAACAAATAATTATTTATCAGAAGCATTGCCCCTTGCATATTGAAAAAAAGTAATAAAAGCTCTCAAAAAAGCAAAATCGCTACAGCGAAAAGTGTTTGAAAACCCGCATAAATTCAAATCCGCATAAAAAAGAACCGCATAAAAAGAGACCTAAGTGTATAAGTTGAAATTTTATAAGAAATTATTGAACATTAAAAACATTATACCTACATAGATATGTATGCACATATGTGCCTACCTAGTAGATAAAACTGGTCCAAATAGCACGAATCTATTCTTCTGTGCATGAGAAAATATACAAACATATGTGTATATACATATGTATGTATATACATATCTGCATGCGTGCATACAATCCTTTACTCGAAATTCTTAGTTGCTGCAATTTTTATCCCATACATTTTTGCCGACCAAACAACGCGTTTGCCTGTCTAATCTGCTTGCCTCATTTGCCTCGCTCGTTTACTCGCCTCGCTCGTCTGCTGCTGCAAATGAGTGCCTCGCTCGCAACGACGCCCTCGTGAGGGCAGAGCTAATGAGGCCCTCGTTTGCTTGCCGCTCTACTCTTGCGCTGCCCTCGTTTGCTTACTCGCTCGCTGGCTGCTCAGCGCGTGCGCTCGTACTTAACGAGTGCTCATTTGCAAACAGCCTCGCGTGTTGCTCGTGTGTTGCGCTAGCTCAGTGCAAACTAACGAGCGAGCGAGGGGCTAAAATGAGGCAAATCCGAACCCTGAAGTCATGGTTATGCCACTACATGCTTTTAATCTAAACACTTCATAACCTTAGTAAACAACTGTTTATTAAACGTGGCTTTTCCGCATGATTCAATAATACAAGGTTAGATAATTATTAACAGCCGCGGTTTGACATTCCCTTACAAAAGATTGCATTTACGAAGGACAGAGAAAGGGGAAGAATGCAATCCCTTGTTGCGGAAATGGAAGTAGAAAGGTACGCAAAGTAGGCACTTAGTAGAGAGATTCCTTTTATAACATTTAATGTATTTGCCGGACATCTGGCATTTTAAACGAAATATTAATATATCTATGTGAATTACGAAATTTATGTGCTATTTAGCTGTATTAAAACTGCAAAAGGACTCAAAATTAAAATAAAACTACTATCAGCCGCACTCAAAAACATTCATTAAATTATCTTTAATTATCCCTTTGTTAATTGCAATTAATCTGTTAAGTAACGTTTCCTCTCAGAGTCATTATTTAATGATTCATATGAAAATCAAAACTTGAAGGATCCCTTAAAAGATCCCCTTTAATTTTATGGCACCATCTACATTTAGTTGTCAATAAATTAAATTTGTGAAGTAATATTGTTTGATTTTTCTAAAAAAATAAACAAACAAGAAATAGAAAAACGCTGAGAAAGTTTTTATATCGCGGCGCCAAACCAAATTACGTAATACAATTATGGTAAGTATTAGTGAAATGTCTGGAGAATTTAAATATGTATTTCGGCAAATTAGTTTTTTCGAAAAAAATAAATACCCATCCAGGTATTTACCCGATTTCGCTGACTCGCCAGGAGTGAGTACTAGTCAAAAAATTTGCGATAGCAATTCCTTTGCCTAACAAATTTAACACGGCGACGTCATTGTCTCCAGTACATACATACATATGCATTAAGTATATGCATATACATACTTACATGCATATGTACAGTATCGGTCATATCTATAGCACGCCATTTCAAAGTGATATTGTGTGCCACTTATGTTTATTTATTTATTTTTAGGAATTTTCAATTAAAATATAGTTCTTTCTCTAACAAAACCCATATAAACCCAAGTTTAACAATTTGTAGAAAACTATATTTTAATTGAAAATTCTTAAAAATAAATAAATTAACATAAGTGGCACACAATATCACTTTGAAATGGCGTGCTATAGATATGACCGATACTGTATATGTGTACGTGTATACTTACGAACATATCGAGCCTTAACCGCCAAAATAACGTAAGCGACATTTTTTTCAAAATTTTCTTTTTGATGCAGAAATGCATCTAGATGCTCTGGGAATATTTCTGCATCAAAACGAAAATTTTGAAAAAAGTGTCGCTTACGTTATTTTGGCGGTTAGGGCTCGATATTGTACGTTTNATATCACTTTGAAATGGCGTGCTATAGATATGACCGATACTGTATATGTGTACGTGTATACTTACGAACATATCGAGCCTTAACCGCCAAAATAACGTAAGCGACATTTTTTTCAAAATTTTCTTTGTGATGCAGAAATGCATCTAGATGCTCTGGGAATATTTCTGCATCAAAACGAAAATTTTGAAAAAAGTGTCACTTACGATATTTTGGCGGTTAGGGCTCGATATTGTACGTTACTATTTGGTTCCGTTTATTACTTCAACAGTTCGATACAATACGAAAACAAAACGGCTGAGTTCACTTTGCGATAGTACACTACAGTAGTTTAGTAGTTACAGACGAAACATCAAACGAAATGAATCGTGCAGAGAAAAATATATGTATGTAAGTAGTACATGTTTTTTAACTGAATTGGATATGAAAATTGACAGAAAAAAATATTTTTGTACGTAATTGAAACGTTTGCATACATATAAAACGTACCCTATGGTTACGGTGACCATAAATATGGATTCAAAATGAAGGATAATTTTTCAAAAATATGCCTACATACATATATTTACGTAGTATAAAAATATCAAAAGAGTATTTATGATTCTAAATTCTTAACACATTTTAAACTTTAAAAATGAATCACGTTTTCTTCATCGATATTAATCTTTTTTACATGAATATTTATCAAATTATAGTAAAACATATTATAATTACAATAGCTTACACGAAAAGTGAAAATCTTTAAAAGATTATTTTATAGGCAAATTTTGAGTCGTTCAAAACGAAAACAATACCCTTCTTTTTTGTTTTATTTTGGTACTTTTCGCAGTTATTTGTCAAAAATCGACGACATGAATCGACGTAAACGACGAGTTACAAAGTGCCCTTTACAAAAATATATAATTTGTGCAGGTTGCGCTCCATAGCATCTACATTTCTAATCCGATTTTCATTATCTTTGGCTCAAAGTTTACTGTAATGATATATCTTCTTTATCGAATTTTTAAAATAATGAAAAAAATAATCAAATGAAAATGCGTATTTGATTGAAAATCTCACTTTTTTCGGCTTTGAAGACAAAATGCAAATGGTCGCCTGTAGCACTAATAATTTTCATTGAAGTCGCCACAAGTTATATATTTTGGGAAGAGGCACATCAATACCCTTCGAGCTGTAAGTCGCTTACGTTGATTTGGAGATTTTTGAAGAAAAGCTACGAAAAGTACCAAAAAACACTTTTTTGAAAAAATCCATCCATTGTCCGATAATTTTGAAATAACGAATAAAATGCGGGACAAATGCAGGACACTTGGAAAAAATCAGTACATTTTCAGGTTTTTCAGGTTTGAAAAACTACGCAGGACCGACCTTCGAAAAACAGTACGGTCCTGCAAAAAACAGAACGGATGGTCACCGTACCTATGGTACAATTGTCACAAACGAAAAGCAAACGTTTCTCGTTGGGGAAAATGACAGTGAATCTTAAAATTTTTTTCTGACTACATATTTACAAAACTGTACAAAACCACAAATGATATGATGATCGATAAGCAAATGGGAATTGTTTTGTACAGTTTATTTTCTACCCTGTTTTTGACGCAGAAATATTCCTAGGGCATGTAGATGTATTTCTGCATCAAAAAAAATTTGGAAAAAATGGCGCTTACGTTATTTTGGCGGTTAGGGCTCGATATTCTGGCAATAGTTACAGTTTTAATTTAGGAAGTTGTGAAAACAAGAAAACGAGCTTATAATTTCACTGCGTACGAAAAAGCTATTTTGGCACAGTTAGTTAAAAAACGGCCAATTGTGGAATCAAAACAAACCGATGGAAAGGCGGTTATAAAGAAGAAGGAAGCTTGGGAAGCTATTAAAATTGCATTTAATCCGCACTCAAATGTACACAAGGTATAGTTAACCACGGAATAAACGAATTGTTAACATAAGTTTTCCTATTGTTTTTAGCGTGAGGTAGCTACATTAAAGAGGGCCTGGGACAATTTAAAAGCCCTTGCACGTAAAGCTCCGAGCCATTGAAAGGGGAAATTTGTTACAAACTGGAGGAGGACCACAGGCTTCTGTATCTCTGGAAATAGGAGCTATAATAACCATGGTGGGAGACGTGCGCATCTTTGAGCCATAGTTATCATATGTATTTCCGTATACAGGGTATTCTAGACCAACCATCACAACCTTCTAAAATGGAGAAACATTTTTTTTTGTTAATGGAAACCCCAAAAATATGAACTACCAATTCGGGGATGCTCTATATTTTGGCCATATGAGTTACTTCCGGTTTCGACCGCTTTTATCACAGATTCGGACTCTGCGGACATAACTTTTATCGGAAATGTTTTTCTATAATGGACTTTCGGTTAAAATAATGGACTTGCGGTGTATTTAACCGGAAGTAACTCATACGGTCAAAATATAGAGCATCCTTGACTTGGTAGTTCATGTTTTTGGGTTTTCCATTAAAAAATTGGTTCTCCATTTTAGAAGGGGTGGTCTAGAACACCATGTATATATATAAATCTTTCTTATGCTTCTTTTACTTTTTTTTACCAGGCTGCACCGGTGATGATTTCCGAAATTGATAATCAATTTGATAGCGATGGTGTAATTTTGCATTCATTTAGAAAATCGCAAAGCCCAGAACATTCTACCACCGACTCAATTGCGGCTTTAGGTATTATTTTTTTGAAAATAAATGGTTGCAAAATAAGTTCTTATAGATATTTTTAGCGTAGACGAAAATGAAGCACCTGGAGAAATGCCAAATAGTGCATATGACGAAAATACAGAAAATGATAATGGTACTATTCTCCTACTTTACTATTTTAAAATTTTCTTATGGTGTAATCTAACTATTTTCAGAAGGAAACAAAAAAGACAAAGAGCAAGTGCGGAGACCAAGGGACTATATTCGTCGCGAGTCTGCTCTAAGGATTAAATACATGGAACGGAAGGAAAAATTAAAAATTCAAGTAGTGCAAACACAGGTACCTAGCTATATATTATTTTAAGAATAAAGATCCTGCATATATATGTATATATACACCCCGCTTCACTTGAATAGGTACACATTTTCTCCTAAAGATCTAAGCTTATCTGGACTTGTGGGCATCAGAGAAGCTTAGTTTTAATTTGATTTTAAAGAATAATTTCGAAGAAAAGTGGTGAAAATGAAGATAACGAAGCAAATTCGTAATTTTTTCAGCGTTCGTCCTATTCACAGGACCGAAACGTAATGGAAAATATTAGGAATTGGATGTTTCGTAGAGTATGCGTGTCAGATAATCCATGTGATGATTGGCAGTTGTTCTTTCTGGCGATTAAAGTAATAAGCAGCGAGATGTCCTTGATTTTTCAAAGCGTCTCTAGAATTGTCTTCCGGATAGGGGGTTTTTCCGTACATTGGAACTACGGATGTAGTAGCCAATACAAAAAGTCTTATATAGTAGAATTGAAATGAATGGTATGCTTTTGTTGGTTCAATGTAGTCATTTCCTTGTGTTAAAGCCACTGTGCCTATTCAAGTGAATCAAAATAATAAGCATAATTTTCATGTCGTTTAAAGTGATAAAGTAATAAAGGTGTTTTCTCCATTTCCACCACTTTTCTTCGAAAGTGATGATTCTTCAATCCGATGCCCACAAGTCCATATATAAGCTCAGATTTGAGGAAAAAAGTACTTATTCAAGTTAAGTGAGGTCTATACATGTATGTGTATATGTATTTACAGCTGGAAACTGAGAAAGCAAAAGAGAACTGCCTTGTTAGAAAAGGAGAGAAGCAAAATACTTCTAGAAAAAGCAAAAATAGAATTGGCCGAAATAAACCAAAAACATTCTGATTAAATATCCTATTAAAAATGCAAAAAATAAACAAAGTGTTAATGCGGTCAATCATGCGTTTAATTTATTGGAAAGCTTTAGGTAAAAAATCGGTCAACTAAGGATTGACGTGCAGTAAAGCCATTGCAATTGGGATTTTAACTAATTGGTAAGTTTCGAAGTTATCACTGTTCAATGGTGCCAAGTCTTCTTCCAGTATTGCTATGTTGTTGTTGTTGTTGTTGTAGCAGCTACAACAACCCCGCCCAGATAGGCAAATATCTCAGTCGTTGTCGTCAATTTCCACTAACAGCAGCCCCAAGAAGCGTGCAGCCTCTATGGGGTCGGTCCAAAGGGACGACGCCGTTAGGGTTGTGGGGTTTTCCGGGCATGCGAAGAGAGGTTTCGAGTCGTGAGGGGTTTCTCCGCAAGCCGGACATTCGTTCGGCACATCCGCATTTAACCTACTCAGGTAGGAATTTAGCCTGCTGCAGTAGCCAGAGCGAAGTTGGGTTATTGGTGTCCTGGTCTCCCGAGGCAGATGGAGCTCCGTCGCGTCAATATCCGGTGTTGTGCCTAGAACGGCATTCACAGGTCTTGAGTCTACATAACTCGAGACTGCGTCCCTGTGAATGCCGTTCAGGGCCTGTCTGTGAGCTGACGGGTCCAGAGGTTGCTTAATGAACCTGAAATGAGGCCTCTATATCTTCTAGTAGCGTGGAATGGCTGACAGTGTCAAAAGCCTTTGACAGGTCCAACGCTACTAGAATCGTTCTCTCACAGGGACGTTTACGGTTAAGGCCACGAGTTATCTGAGTGTTTATGGCGTTAAGTGCGGTTGTTGTACTGTGCACTTTACGGAAACCATGCTGATGCTTCGCAGTAGCAAGGCCTCTAGTGTCTTCGCTACCGGGGAAAGGAGTGTTATCGGACGATAAGAATCTCCTATGTTGGCGGGTTTCCCCGGTTTGAGCAGTGGGACCACTCTCCCCACCTTCCAGATGTCTGGGATGATGAGAGTGGCCATGGAAAAATTGAGGACCTCCGTTAGGTACGCTACCCCCGCAGGACCCAAATTTTTCAGCATCAGCATGCATATTCCGTCGGGACCCATGGCTTTGGAGGCTTTCGCCTTCCCGATGGCCACCTGAACTTCACCGCAAGTGAAACAAGGGGGGCACAGGTTGTTGGCAGTTTGTGCAGCCTTCTGGTCACTCGACGCTTGGCTTTGTCCACCGGAGGATGCAGTATGAATTGCCGGCTCAAATAGCTCGCGCATCGCTCCGGGTCCGACGAAGCATGGTCGCCGAAAGAAATTTCGACTCTGGACCTCACGGTTGACCAAAGCTTACTCACACCAGAGGTGAAGTTGCAGGTCTTCAGATGCTCTTCCCACTTCTTCCGCGTATGTACGTTTACTAGTTGCCGAATCTCCGCGTTGAGATCCCTGATACGGGGATCTCCGGGATCGGCCTGACCAAGGCTGTCACGCTCATCGGCTAGAACAGCCGCTTCAGCAGGGAAATTTGGGCGTGGGTCGGTGATGCATCCTGCCGGTACGAAGCGGGCTGCAGCAGCGGTGACAGCCCTGCGGATTTTACGTTCACCAAGGTGGACGTCGGTTGGTGGTGGGAGGGCAGCGAAGGTGTTTTCAGTAAATTCCGCGAAGCCTTTCCAATCAGCTTTTGAAAAGTTGATATATGTTCGGTGCTCCGCGGAAGCAAAGTCGGTAGGTTTATCGATCGAGATGACTATGGGCAGGTGGTCTGATGCCAAAGTCAGCATAGGTCGCCATGATATGCTGTTTATCAGACCAGCGCTGGCTATTGTTATGTCTGGCGAGGTGCAGCAGCTACCCATAATCCTGGTGGGTGCGTCGTCGTTCATTGCGCAGAATGTCGAATCGTCTATCTGCTCAGCCAAGTCAGTTCCCCTACGATCGTTTGACAGGCTTGAGTGCCAAAGGTCGTGGTGCGCATTAAAGTCGCCTACTACCATACGGTTTTCACCTCTGAGGAGCGTGCCTATATCAGGGTGATATCCTACCGGGCAGCAGGTGACAGGGGGTATATAAACGTTAAATATTTCCAGCTCAACATCACCTGACCGGATAGCAATGCCCTGACATTCTAGGGTGGTATCCCTGCGGTCGATGTGTGGTGCGTAAGGAACGCTAAGCCTCCACCATTATCCCGCTCGCGATCCCGACGGTGCACGCTGTACCCGGCACAATTCAACAGTGTTGAATTGCTGTGCAACTTCGTCTCTTGGACCGCAGCTATCAATATGCCGTGCCTTCCCATGAAGACGGTTATCTCCTCGATCTTGCTCTGAAGTCCGTTACAGTTAAATTGAAGGAGCTCCATGTGGTTCGTGAGACGTGTGGTGATGCGGGGTGTGAGGGATGTGTGTGGTCGTGCCGCAGTTGGCTGTGTGCGCTGCTGAGGTGGTTGCCGCCCTGTGGTGGTGGCGGGAGGCGTCGCAGTTGAGGTCTGCGACCGAGCAGCGCAGCACGGGCCCTCGAAATTCCTCGTCCAATCTCGCGTGGTGCGCAGACCTGAGCATGCCCTAAAGTGGCACCAGCCAAGGCAGGTGTTGCACTTGACTGATGTCACATTACGGAATATCCTGGTCTGACATACCGTGCGGATTGTAGGAGGAACCAAGAGTTGTTGGCGGCGGCGTGTGGGTGGTGGTGTGGTTGTGTGTGTTCTGTGGTCTGTAGCCGTTGTGGTGTGGTCTATTGTGTTATGTTGTTGTGCTGTGGTGTTTGTGTGGGACTGCTCAGGTGGACTGGGGTTAGCCGTGGAGGCTGCTCTGTTAGAGCAACAGGGGGCCACAAAGGACGTGGTCCACTGGCGATGTGTCCGTAGTCCTGAGCAGACTCTGAGGTGACTCCACCCCTCGCAAGCATTGCACTTGACAGAGGTGGAGTTGTGGTGTAGTCGTCTCTGGCATATACGGCGGGTGTAGGTTTCTGGCCCTGGGTTTGACTCGATGCCAGCCCTGAGTAGGAGAAAACGTAGCGAATGTAGCCCTATGGACGAACAACTTCTGAGATACTTCGCCAACCTAAACGGGGTTAGATCGCCGAAACAACAGCCCTTGGTCGGGTAAAATCCGAGTCATTCCGGTACGTAGAACCGGCTGTCGTGGGAATATTACGCAGTGCTGCACAAGCACATATTACAGCCACTACTGTGTTCACTTTGATATTCACTCCGACTTGAAGACAGGGAAATCTTCTTTTCCATACTCCGAAGCATCTTTCTACAGTATTTCTTGTTTTAATCTGGCTTTTATTATAATTTTTCTGTGGAGTTGAATTCGGTGTTAAAAATGGCGTTAACAGAACATTGCTAACAGCATAGCCACTGTCTCCTAATAATATTCCTTTTAACTCTCCATTAATAAGTCTTTGTTTAACCGAACTGCTATTGTAGATAAAGCTGTCGTGAGTACAACCGGGCCGTCGGGCGACTATATCAAAAAACTTCAGGTTTGGCCCGGCGACGGTCTGGACATTGAGAGAAAACCATCCTTTCCTATTTCTATAAACTTCGGAAGATATTCGTCCAGGGCTTCTTATTTTAATATGTGTGCATCAATGCACCCAATTACTCCAGGAAAATTAGCCAATTCATAAAATTTTTGTCTGCAAAAATAGAAAAATCAAAACCGTAAATGTGTATTAGCGAGGTTATGAAAGGTAAGCATGACCCTACTTCACACTATTAATATCTTCGGAAGTAAATGGGAATTTTACAAATCCTTCATTTTCCTTGAAATCGATGCAGAGACTTGACAAATTATTCTTGAAACTGATTGTTGGCATATGTTAATCACATCTCTATCAAATTTCTGAAAAAAAGGAATATCATAGCTTTGAACCCACTCTACACATTGATATAGAACCTGATTCACTTTTTATATTTGAGTACTCAGTCTCGCTTGAATTCAGGCTATATCACTGCTTAATCACGCCAATACCAAGAATGATGGAATAAAGAGATTGCGCTATGCGCAGGTCCGTTACTTTTGCTTTACGATATTGACAATCAGCTGTTCGTGTGATGACGTCACACTATCAAAATTTTGTGAAAAATGTATGGCGATCGGTGCATATGCGGTAATAATTTTATTAATATAATTATATTAGTGAGTTTTACCAAAAAAAATCATACAAATGAATTGTGCGGTGTCTGGTTGTACTAGTGTAGTTTATTAACCTTTCCTACGGATCCAAATTTGGAAAAGGTTTCAATTTTAAAAACTGCTACGTTTGTATGGGACACTTTGTTGCTGGAGAATATGAGAATATTCTGCAGTTTGAAATGGGTATTTATAATCTTTCTTGTACTGATATGCCTTCATTCAACCAGCATGAAAATACAGTGGAGCGATTCGTTAACAATTCCTAAAACAAGTAAAATTCTTCTTAGCATTTATTTAACCACATTATGTTTGAGTACTCGATGTATAATACGTACCTTAACGTCCTCATTCTCCGGGTCCTACCTCGTAGAATCAGTTAATACCTATGTCTTCCTTTCGGCAGCCGAGTGAGGTGTATTGCTGGGTTATCTATTGCAAGCTCCTAATTTGTACATACGTTTTAATAATACCATAAAGCAGGCATAATACACATGCACGCATAGCTTCGCGAGTGTTCGCCAGCTAAAATACACAGTACGCTGCCTGAATTNACCTTAACGTCCTCATTCTCCGGGTCCTACCTCGTAGAATCAGTTAATACCTATGTCTTCCTTTCGGCAGCCGAGTGAGGTGTATTGCTGGGTTATCTATTGCAAGCTCCTAATTTGTACATACGTTTTGATAATACCCTAAAGCAGGCATAATACACATGCACGCATAGCTTCGCGAGTGTTCGCCAGCTAACATACACAGTACGCTGCCTGAATGGCTACCTTGAAGTACGCTACAACTGCACGAATATTCCCCCACTTTGAATAATCCGTCATCTTCCAAGCACATGTTTGAGTTGCCAGGCTTCGATCAC